AATTCTTTTTTGATTTTTTGAAAATTCAATATAGTTGGAACTATCAACTTTTCTCGAGTACATTTTGAAGAACAAACTGATCAGATGAGGAGAAATGAGAGAAATGACTTTGAGTTTAAATGAAAATGGAAGTAAGCAGTATGAGTCATCGCCATTTCCATATATGGAAGTAGTACCAAATATGGAAGGATTTCCCTATATGGAAGCTGCGTAGGCGTTACTACTACTATATAACTCCACCATTTTCTGCGAAAATCATTTTTCCCAATGGCAGCTGCTATGTGTCAAGCTCTTCCCAGCTTTTATTCAGATTATAATAGTAAATCATTGTTTATTTCTGTTTCCAACAATTTTTACGAAAAATACATAGTAACCCAAGATTATTGCGTCTCTACTCACAATTCTTTCTGTTCCTTGGGAAATTGCAAATTTCATATAATTTTAATTGGAACTTCCCTTAGCCAAATTCTTCAGAGATTAGACAAATATCAATAAATTTATCAAGAAATTGATTGTCTTTACACTTTGAACAAGCACAGATTCTTTTCGAGTATTGTCACATCAAGTGGGGAAGTCTTCAATCAGCTTAGTTGTGGAGTGCAGCATAATTTACGATGGAAAGGAGCAGAAAAAACACCAAGCGTATCAAGGAAACGACTTGTTCGCAAAAAGTTCAAAAAAACATTATCTAAGTTCTAATCAAAAACTTGCATCTACGCAAACTCTTGGCTCAGCATTTTTAGACAGAATTCGTAAAGTACAAAACTCAATATATGAACATGATTTGTTAAAAATAATAGACTGTTTTATTGATGGTTATGGATTTGTAAATAGTGATCATGTCAATTTTTCAATAAAAAACTTCTGATATTCCATCTATTTTCTCTCATATGTTTAAAAAGTTTTCACTAATTACCGAAACAAAAATCACCGTTGTCAAAAACATTTGCAAAAAAATTTTTCAAACATGTAAGAAAGATGTAATATTTCTTTTGATTTTCAAAAAGTTACCAAAAAACATTTCAATTTTTTTAACAAGTTGTAAAAAGTGTTTTAATTTTTTTTGACATAATGCGAAAAATGTTTCAACTTTTTTGAGAAGATGCGAAAAGTGTTTTACTTTTTTTAACAAGATGCAAAAAGTGTTTCGCTTTTTCACTACAAATGCGAAAAATATTTCAATTTTTTTCGACAAAATGCGAAAAGTGTTTTACTTTTTTCGATAAAATGCGAAAAGTGTTTCAATTTTTTCGATAAAATGCGAAAAGTGTTTTACTTTTTTCGATATAATGCAAAAAGTGTTTTATTTTTTCGACAAAATGCGAAAAGTGTTTTACTTTTTTTCGACAGAATGCGAAAAGTGTTTCAATTTTTTTTACACAAGGCTAAAAGTGTGTTCATCGATGAGGTAATTTTTTACTTGTGTACAGTTTTTCTAGTGTTTTTCCGAATTTTTGTACAAAAATTAATCAAATTTTTTAACATGTGTGCGAGTTCGGAGCACTTAACTAAGTTCTAATTGTTTTTCAATGGTTTACCTTGAACCTTTCATCTATTCTCATAATTAAAATGAAATTGAAGAAATTAATTACAGAAAACGAAGTCAAAACCAAACAACCTTTATTTACAAAAACATTTAATCAAAGTACTGTCGAGCAGCAGAAGAGTTCTGGAGGTTCTCTATAGAACGCAGAGCTGGACGAGGTTCCATTGCTGGTGGTTGTTGTGGAACTGGAGGCGTCATTGTTTCTGAGAAACCCTCATCTTCATCTATTGTGATGGGGTTTTCGACTGATCCTGCCTCCTCCCAAGGAAAAAGGAAGTCGTCGACTGGTTGAGCTACAAATCTTGAGTCAGGAATCTCGGGGTAGTTCATTCCCACATGCTCAGACGATTCCGCCATCATTTGCATGGTTCCAAGTTGGTTTTCTGTGATGGGAACTTGCATCATATGATGCTCGCTGAAATCCCTTCGCATCACTTCCACCATGTGCCAGACTTGGATTGGGATGTCCATTCGAGCCAGAAAAACTCCAGAGACTGTTTCTCGCACTTGAATTTGTACTAGATCAGGCGAAAATTCTACAGAGTACTTGAGGTTGCTGTTTTGCACTGAGAAGATCATTTTGAGCAATAAGATGACTAAAAGAGCAAAAACAAGAAAGAACTGAGAGGAGGGGGAACCTTAAAAAAATAAGTTGAAATTAGGATGTTTAGAGCTGAGAGAGTAGGTAGTTGATGGTAGTTAAGTTGAAAATGAAATGATTTTTAGTTAGGAGTGAGGGGTATCTTCAACTGGAATGTTTAGGTTCAACCTATCAGAATGGATTTTCCTTATTTGGATTGTAGTCGTGTCCAATCAGATTTTAGTTTCCTTTTATGGAATTCTTATAGAAAACTCGTGTCCAATTGGAAACAAAGCTCCATTTTACACATTGTCGTTTCCAATCACAAAAATGTTCATTTTTGTTCAAGTTGTCGTATCCAATCAGAGGAACCTTTCAAGGACTTAAGTCTTCCAAATAAGTAAAAATATACACGAAAACAATCGCAAAAATAAATGACCAAAAGTTGTGTGCTGTCAAAATAAGAAATATTGCCGATACAAGTAACAAAAGAAGGAAAATTAATAAAAGTAGCCTCTCTGCAATTTTTTCATTTCTGATCAGGAACTTGCGTCCACTCAGACTCTTGAATCAGCTTTTTTGGAAAGGATTCGAAAAGTTCAAAACTCAAAGTATGAGACTGATTTGTTGAAAATTGTTGATTGTTTCATTGATGGTTTTGGTACTGTAAATAGTAGCGTATCAATTTTTCTATAAATAGTTGAATATTTGTTTGAAAAAATCTTGTCAAAATTGTTTTTATTTAAATCAAAAAATGTTTCAACGAAAAAATATGCAATTTTCAACACGTGTGCAAAAATTAACTTAGAGTTTTTTTGCAAGATGCAAATTTTGGTTTGATTTTTTCAACACGTTTGCAAAAATTTAATTAAACTTTTATACAAGATGCAAAAACTGTTTTTGTTTTTTCAACAAGTGTGCAAAAATTTTCAACAAAATTTTGTGTTAGATGTAAGTTTTTTCGTAGTTTTTTTGAAAACAAATCCAAAAATCTAACTTATTTTTTCGTATTTATATTCAAAAACTGCAAAATTTTATTGTAAAAAACTTGTTAAACTAATGCTAAAATTTTTTCATAATTGCTGACTTTGAGTACTATTCCCTATCTTAAAACATTGTTTTTCCAGTATTTTTGATCAATATACATGCAAAGAGGAAATTTTTTTAATGATCGAAATTAAAACAAAGATTTTCATTTTATTTAATTATTAACAGTGCAAGAAAATCCTCTGTCTGTTTTCTTTAAAAAGCGAAAAAATTTAATGAAATTTTTCTTAATTTGCGAGATTTTCTTTGATTTTTTTAACAACTGTGCAAAAAAAAAATTATGAAAAGTTTTGCATGGTGCAAAAATTAATGTAAAGTTTTTAACAGGCTTGCAAAAATTGGTTTAATTTTTTTGCCATCTTTCTAAAAAAATTCTATAAAAGTATTTACCAGATGCATAATTAGTTTCATTTTTAACAAATTTTTACCATTGAAATTTCCTAATAAACTTTTCTATGATCTCTTTGTTCCTATCTCTTGAAAATAAATTTACTAGATGTAAAACAATTAAATTACAAAGCAAAAGACAGTAGCCAATTTATTTACAAATCAAAGAGCTGTCGAGCAGCTGAGTTCTCAAAACTTTGCAAGTTCTCAATGGAGCGCAAAGCTGGTCTTGCCTCCATCACTGGTGGTTCGCTGACTGGAGTTCTTGGCTCAGAGAACCCCTCATCCTCTTCGATTGTAATTGGGTTGTCCACAGATCCCTCTTCCCAAGGAAAAAGGAAATCGTCGAACGGTTGAGCCACATATCTAGAGTCAGGAATTTCGGGGTAGTTCATTCCCACATGCTCGGCCACTTCCACCATCATTTGCATCTGATGGTGGAAGTGGCCGCCATCAGATGCAAATTTTTTTCGCAAGATGCAAATTTTGGTTTGATTTTTTCAACACGTTTGCAAAAATTTAATTAAACTTTTATACAAGATGCAAAAACTGTTTTTGTTTTTTCAACAAGTGTGCAAAAATTTTCAACAAAATTTTGTGTTAGATGTAAGTTTTTTCGTAGTTTTTTTGAAAACAAATCCAAAAATCTAACTTATTTTTTCGTATTTATATTCAAAAACTGCAAAATTTTATTGTAAAAAACTTGTTAAACTAATGCTAAAATTTTTTCATAATTGCTGACTTTGAGTACTATTCCCTATCTTAAAACATTGTTTTTCCAGTATTTTTGATCAATATACATGCAAAGAGGAAATTTTTTTAATGATCGAAATTAAAACAAAGATTTTCATTTTATTTAATTATTAACAGTGCAAGAAAATCCTCTGTCTGTTTTCTTTAAAAGGCGAAAAAATTTAATGAAATTTTTCTTAATTTGCGAGATTTTCTTTGATTTTTTTAACAACTGTGCAAAAAAAAAATTATGAAAAATTTTGCATGGTGCAAAAATTAATGTAAAGTTTTTAACAGGCTTGCAAAAATTGGTTTAATTTTTTTGCCATCTTTCTAAAAAAATTCTATAAAAGTATTTACCAGATGCATAATTAGTTTCATTTTTAACAAATTTTTACCGTTGAAATTTCCTAATAAACTTTTCTATGATCTCTTTGTTCCTATCTCTTGAAAATAAATTTACTAGATGTAAAACAATTAAATTACAAAGCAAAAGACAGTAGCCAATTTATTTACAAATCAAAGAACTGTCGAGCAGCTGAGTTCTCAAAACTTTGCAAGTTCTCAATGGAGCGCAAAGCTGGTCTTGCCTCCATCACTGGTGGTTCGCTGACTGGAGTTCTTGGCTCAGAGAACCCCTCATCCTCTTCGATTGTAATTGGGTTGTCCACAGATCCCTCTTCCCAAGGAAAGAGGAAATCGTCGAACGGTTGAGCCACATATCTAGAGTCAGGAATTTCGGGGTAGTTCATTCCCACATGCTCGGCCACTTCCACCATCATTTGCATCTCTCCAAGTTGATTCTCTGTAGGGGGTACTTGAGTTATATGATGTTCGTTGAAATCCCTTCGCATCTTTTCCACCATATGCCAGACTTGGATTGGGATGTCCATTCGTGCCAGAAAAACTCCACAAACTGTTTCTCGCACTTGGATTTGTACTAAATCAGCCGAAAATTCCACCGAGAACATAAGGTTGTTGTTTTGTACTGAGAAGATCATTTTGAGCAATAAGTTGAGTAAATGATTAAAAACAAGATTTACAGTTGAGAGGGAGAAAATTGCCGGTAGTTATGTTGAAATTATTGTATTTAGAGCTGAGAGAGGAGGTAGTTGACGGTAGTGAAGTTGAAAATAAAATGATTTTTTAATTATGAGAGAGGGGTACCTTCAACTGGAATGTGTGGGTTTAACCAATCAGAATGAATTTTCCTTATTTGGATTGTAGTCGTGTCCAATCAGATTTTAGTTTCCTTTTATGGAATTCGTATAGAAAACTCGTGTCCAATTGGAAACAAAGCTCCATTTTACACATTGTCGTTTCCAATCACAAAAATGTTCATTTTTGTTCAAATTGTCGTATCCAATCAGAGGAACCTTTCAAGGACTTAAGTCTTCCAAATAAGTAAAAATATACACAAAAACAATCGCAAAAATAAATGACCAAAAGTTGTGTGCTGTAAAAATAAGAAATATTGCCGATATAAGTAACAAAAGAAGAAAAATTAATAAAAGTAGCATCTCTGCAAGTCTTCTCATCAAGTTAACTGAACTTTTTGTTTAAAATCGATGAGAAATTGCTGATTTTTCAGCAGATATTCAAGTTCTTTAATTTTGATGTAAATTTGAGATGATAACTCAAATTTGATGAATTTTTCAAAGCAAATCTCTGGAAATCTGATACCAAACCTGATCATGCAAGATTTTGAACTTTGAAAGTCCTTAAAAACATGGAGGAATAAAGAACTTTGCTGGGGAGTTTTAACAAATTTGGGAGTTGGATATGGAATAAAAAGAGTCTTTGAAATATTATCGTACGATTTTTTTATCAACTTCAAATTTTCTAAAATAAATAAAATTTCCTTTCTAGTCAAGTGTAACTCAGCTGTAAGTTTATAGCTTTGATACGCAATACGCTTAGTCGGAGAACTCTATTTTGGACAACATAAACGTCCAAAAAGTTGTGAAAAAAGTAAGAATCTACATCTATTTCATCAATAAGGAAATCACACGGAATATTTTCTTTTTTCTTGTAGAGTAATTCGAGGAAGTTCAAATGCTTTTTGATTGACATTCTTCAAAAATGAATATTTTGGATCCAAAGTTATGTCTAGGAACTGCTTAGTTCTGATTGGTTGAAAATTTTTCTGGAAAATTCTAGAACTTTCAAAGCAATGACGTCATTACCATAAAAGGAAAATTGCGTGGGTGTTGACGTCATTTCTATTTATAGAATGACGTCATTATCATAAAAGGAACATTGCGTGGGTGGTGACGTCACTTCTAAATATAGAATGACGTCATTACTATAAAAGGAAAATTGCGTAGGCGGTGACGTCACTTCTATTCAAAGAATGACGTCATTACCGTAAAAGGATTATTACGTAGGCGTCATTGATAGTATAAATACACTTATTTTATTGAGTGAAATCATTCATTTTGTTTACACATCAGAAACAGTCAATTGAATTTTACTTCAAATTTTACATTTCGTTACTTCACCAAAAGTAAGTATTTTTATTCAATTGGTACTTTAAGTTTTTAAATTTGGAACATTTCAAAAGTCCCAATTTTTTTAGATAATGCACGCCCTTAACGGAAACGAGAAAGTAAAGTGTGGAGACTGTGGAAATATGTTTACTCGTCAAAACACAGCTCGACACCGGAAAAATTGTTCTAAAAGAGTTATTTCTTGCCCTGATTGTAAGTATTTGACTTATTATCAACAAGAAATGAGCTATCATATGGCTAAGAAGCATGCTCAACCAAGTTCGAAGCAGTCGACGGTTTGTTCTTCTTGTGAACAAGAGTTCCCCAGTTACTACTCTCTCCAACAACATCGGAGAAAGGATCATGGAGCAAAACAACGGAAACCCAGTGATACGGTGGCCGACTTGAACAAGATTGTGGAGGAAGAAGGGGAAGATGGTGAAAAACCAAAGGAAGAACTTAGTGCTTGTCAACATTTTCTGGTGGATACGGAGATGGAAAATGGGAGACATAAGGTATTTAACTTCCAAATGTCCAAGTTAGATAATAAAATCATTGACGAGAAACTTGAAGAAGTCTTCAACAAGCTCGATTTTGCAGCCAAAATCAACATTGCTCTGGGTTTTGTTCTTCGAAATATTGAGACTGGTGAATATCGTTATTTCTACGCTCATGAAAACAATACTCTGTTTGAAAAATCCCACTTACTTTGTACGAAAGCGGATTTGATAACAATCTAAGGAAAAATAGTAAAATTTGATATTGTGGAGCAATGTACCCAAGAACGTCAAGACACAAAATGGAGATTCAAGTTAATTACTTACGTCACATTTTTCGCTGCTTTGCTGAAAAATATCCCCATGGGATGTCCGGACTCTGTCTTACCCGAACCTCTACTGAAAAACCATTCTGTTAACTGTCTTTTATCTAACAAGGACAAGGAACCTTACAAAGATCATTTGTGTCTTTTCCGCGCATTGGCAATGTACATGAACGGAAACAGAGATCTCGACTCTCACACTTCTAGATACTTTACAGATTTTATATCAAAATCTAGTTATGATCCTAAAAATTTTCGTGGAGTTTCTGTAGAAGACTTACCTGTTGTCGAGGAAATTGTGCAAAGAAACATTTTTATATACGATTTCGAAATCCAAGATGGAGAATATGTAGGAGAACTAGCTCGACGAAGTATCGGAAGATTTGATGAAACAGTTAAGCTACTGAGATTTAACAATCATATCAATCATACAAATGATATTGATTCTTTCTTCAAGTGTTTCCGTTGTTCTAGTTGTGACACTTTTTTTTAATAAATCCGACAATTTTAACAAACATCTTCTGAGATGCAAGGACCGAGTGAAACATATTTACCCAAAAAACATCTATGAGCTTCGCGAAACCTTGTTTGAAAAGCTAGAAGGTTTCAATCTTCCAGTTTCTGAAGATAACAAACTTTTTAATAACCTAGCAACTTTCGATTTTGAATCGATTTGTGTTCCTACAGAGGAACTAAAAGAGACGCAGACTACTACCTGGATTGGAAAACATGTCCCCATTTCAGTCTCTATATCATCAAATCTGATTGATGAACCCATCTTTTTGTACAACAAGGAACCACAGAACTTGATTATTGATTTTGTAAGCAAACTCGCGCTGTTGGCTGAGAAAAGTAAGCTGGAGATGAGAACAAAATTTCAAGATATTGAAGTAGCTGTCAATGAAAGAATGAAGAAGATCTTTGATCAGCTAAACGAACGTGGTAAAAATTATTCAAGTAACAAATTCGAGTACGAAGACGAATGCATTGAAGATTCGGAAGAAGCAGATATGTCAACACAATTTTTGCGAATTCAGAAAAATCAACTCATCGATTTAAAACAACATCTGGAGAGATATATAAATACTCTACCTGTTTTTGGATTTAACAGTGGTAGATATGACTTAAATTTGATCAAGTCCTACTTAATCCCTTATTTGATTCGCGATAAAGAGCAAGAAACATCCGTTATCAAAAAAGCAAATGATTTTATATCTTTCAAGTTTGGAGATGTACAATTTCTTGACATTATGAAGTTTCTGGGTGGAGCAACAACTCTGGACTCATTTCTCAAAGCTTATGAAGCTAATGAAACAAAAGGATTCTTTCCTTATGAGTGGTTTGACAACCCTGACAAACTTGATTTTCCAGGACTGCCCCCATATGAAGCATTTTTCAGTAAACTTAGAAACAACAATCCTCTAGACAAAGACTTTACTGATTATGAAAAACTGAGGAAGAGTGGACTTGATGAACAGCAAGCGCTGAAAAAGCTTCAAATAAAGACTGTACCCCCATCTCGTCTAGATAATTACAGTTACTTACAGCAAACTTGGCAGAAAAACGGAATGACTGTGTTCAAAGACTTTTTGCAGTGGAACAACAACAAAGATGTAGTTCCAACCCTGGAAGCAATGCAAAAAATGATTCAGTTTTATCATAACAAGGGGATAGATATGTTGAAACTTGGATGCACACTTCCAAATCTAGCAAACATATGTCTACACAAACCTACAAATTACAAGTTTTATCCAATTTGCGAAAGTGATAAAGATTTGTGTGAAAAAATACGAGAAGACATGACTTGTGGGCCTTCGATTGTGTTCACTCGAAAAGCTGTAGTTGATGAAACATACATCAGAAGTTCATCAAATGTTTGTAAATCAATCGTTGGAATTGATGCAAGCCAGCTTTACCCCTATTCAATGTGTCAAGATATGCCAACAGGATTGTATACGAGATGGGAGTTTGACACTGATATGCAAAAATTCAAGGCTAGACATAATCGAACTCGCAACTTTGAGAATATGGTCATATCTTTCTATCAAGAATCAAGACCAGAATGTAAAATTGAGAGCTTTTTTACATCTGGAAAACAGAAGAAAATTGTGATCACTGTAAAACAGTATTCGAAGCAATGGGATGTTACTACCACTTCTGTTCCTGTCAAGAAGCTCGTCCCTCCTTAACAAAACAGGATATCGAGCGAGGAAACAAGGAGAGAGAAATGGATGATATGCGACGAGAATACATTCAAGAGAAAGGATACAAAGTTGAAGAAATGTGGAAGTGTGAGTGGTGGCAAAATTTCAAAACCAATGACAAGATAAAAAATCATGTTCGAACCCTCTTTCCCAACAAAAGACCCCTTTCTACAGACTCTCTTCTAGCAAAGATAAAAGATGGATCTCTTTTTGGTTACGTTCAGTGTGACTTAGTTGTTCCAGATGAACTGAAATCGAAATTTGCGAATTTTCCTCCAATTTTCAAAAATACTGAGGTCGGAAGAGATGATATTGGAGATTACATGAAAAACTATGCGATCGAGAACGAAATG